ACCTTTAAATGCACGCACTTTTATTTGCACCCAAAATACATTCCCAGAATTGATCACACGTTTGATGTGCTGAATAAAAGTGGGTGGCTGGCATAAAAAAATGTAAACACATCGAAAGGAGATGTGTGCGTTCAGAACCTTGATTTTTACATTGCAGTGAATGGTGGCACCTCCAGAGGTGATGTGGGCCTCATTACCTTCAAGTTCAAGTTCATTTCTTAGGTATAACCCTGTGAGCCATTCAGCTCTTGAATCGGGTGCAACCGCAACAAACAAAAAACAAAAACATGAACAAGAAAACATCTTAAAGTGACTATGTGACTAAGTGAAAACAGAAAATCCAAGAAAAGACAGGAAAATATTGCAGAAAAAGCACCGTACACCAACACTGTGCAAGTCAAACAACAACAACCACAAGACAACTTAGATTAAGGCCATCAGTCTACAACATATACGGCGGATTGAAACGCATCGAATCCTCTCCATACGATTTGATTCCACAGGATTGTTAGGATGTCTTGTGACCCCCCCCCCCCCCCCCAACTAATTGACCCAATTAAAAAAAGTTTTAGATCATTTAATGGTGGGGGGGTCACATGGACCACCTTGTAGAATCAATTCGTATGGGGTTGCATTGGCCACACTGTGGATATTCACGTGTTCAACACTCTACGTATCAACATCATCGTACAAACTATACTTTATGCGGAAATGGGGTAGCAACTTAACGCGCGTGCTTTCTAGAAGCACAGCAATGCTGATAATACTGTGCGTGTATATGTAATACTTTTTCCCGGGAGTAAGAGGGGATTAGGAAATAAAACGTGGCCCGTGTGTGTACTGTAAGTGATACTGTACAGTTACGGGTGGTGCAGATGTCTTGTTACCCCCCCCCCCCCTATTTACTTCTCTTAAAACGTTATATTTTGTATACCATTGGTTGTGAAAACAGAAATGAATAAGCACAGGGAAATATGTTAAGGGTCAATTAATTGGGTGGGGGTTACAAGGCATCTGGAGCAGCGTGCGTGCTCTAGTTTATATCGTACTCGTGTTGATAGGGTGCTCTTCAAAACCTCCCTTGGTTTGAATGTCTGCACCATGCGTGAGATAAATTGGAAGCATGGTCGGTGCTAGCGGGCCGACTCACGTCCACTCTGCTTAGCGGGGTATATCCCCAACACACAACACATTCCTGCGGAGGGAGCTGGTGGGAACGTTGGGTTGCTCGGTCAGTGGCCAGGGTCAACGGCGGCGTGGTGTATAACGCAAATATTCCCGACTGTGAGGACGGGCACGAGCCGGCGTGAGTAGGTTAAGCGTTGAGTTTTATAAGGGCACCACGGGGTGACCAGCCCCTCCCCACACAGCCCCACCCCTCCCATCCCCCACCCAGCCCCATCTCCCCACCCAGCCCCTCCTCACCCTCCCCTCCTCACCCAGCCCCTCCCTCCCCACTCAGCCCCTCCCTGCACGACGGACGGACGGACACAATAATCCCCTGTGGGCTGGTGGAACCAGTGGGTTCCTACCTGAGGTGTGGACTCGAGTCATGTGACTTGGACTCGAGTCAGACTCGAGTCATGAATTTGATGACTTCAGACTCGACTTGGACTTGCATAACAATGACTTTGTCCCACCTCTGGTTCCTACCAGTATAATATTCGTTATTTAACCAGAAGTCGCAGCCAAGGGAGGGAACGTGACTTAGAGGATGTCCACTGTGGAGGCGATTAGAGCAATGAAACTCGATGGAACATTACATGTAATAATCTTGAGAGATGGTGACGTTTGGGGAGGCCACCATCCAGTAGTGGATTGATAATGGCTTATGATAATTAACTAATCGTATACTGTACTTACACAATGTATCCAACCCAATTAGTTGATCAAAATTGACTTATTTTTTCGCTTTGCGTGGGTTGTAACAAGCAGCTTATAGTAACTTCCATGCCTGAGTAAGATTTTTTTTTAAATGACACATCTGAGGCCAAAACTGTTTGGACGCAATAGCTGGTTGCTGGGGGACAAAGTGACGCACCATTCTGTGTTAAAACTCTCGTGAAAGATCAATATAAAAGCCTAAGTGAATTTGGTGACATCAGTCGGTGACATGTATTCAGTGCTGGATCAAGGTTTCCTTTGCATGGCCGTCCTCACCCCGCCTAACATTCTAAATGTTTTTATGGTTATTTGTATTTTCATTCTGCGTTCTTGCTACTTTTTTTCTTCTTCCAAGCGTTTTTCAGTCACATCACGAGTTACAAATTCATCATGCCTGGCTGTTTTCAGGCTGTTCGCAGTTAAGTGAGCTGTTTTATGAATATTATATGGGAGAAATGGAGGGGAAAAAATGTACGTGAATGTATGAATCATGTGAGATTTTTGGTTCAGACATTCACTACACATATATATGCGTGTTACTGCTTTCTGTGCAAATAAGTGATGAGAGATGCCAGAGGCACGAGAAAGGAACACGTGGCTTCGAGAACATTTGCGGGTTCACGACGTAGAGTGTTCGGAAGAGTGAATTAAGAAGAGCGGGCTGAGGCAGGGACATGTCGGTGAAAAGGATGACAGACGGTGGTCGCGACTAACAAGGGAGTAACGCGCTCAAGATGGGAGGCCCACCAGAAATTGAGCGATGATGAAATCCGCTCGCATGGATCCTTCCATCGCAGAACCACGAAATATGGTGACGGATTTGGGGGGGAAGCATTTGTCCAGCAGTGGATTGATCGTGGCTCACGATGCTAAGCAGTAACAGAATCCATTCGGTGCAATCAAAGCAGCTATGCATCGATTGAAATGAACACCGCGCATCCCTAGATGTCGACATTTAAACTTATAAAGTTGAGTGTATTTTTGTTAAATGTATTTTCTTCTGGTGCGGGAGCTATGAGAAAACGCGCTTGGCGAGGCAGGTTTCACGTTCGTCACGGAGCATCTGGCTCACAGCTAACGCTACAGCTGTGCACATACATTTAGTCGGTGCCACCCTCGTGTCTGGTACTTGGCATGAACAGCGAGCAATTGGTTGACCACCTGGCCTTGGGGCGGAGGGGATCTACAATTACAACCCACAGTACTGTAATTGTTTAAACAGCACACAGTGGGCACCGTTTCCTAAGACTGGCCTTTAAAAATAAACACAAAAACGGTCTTTGGGATATCGCTCCTTGAACACGGGCCCGTTAAATACGCACGAGACTTGTATTAATGTCATTTTTGAGTTTTATTGTAAAACAAAAGCACCGTATAAACAACATCCGAAGGGTGAGAACAAGTTCACAGAGAAATGTTACATTTATCTTGTAAAAGCTTTCGTGTCAGTATACAGTGTCTATGTACAAGGTTTGACAATTTAACTCCAGCTGTTCGGAACGTGAACAGCTTTTAAATGACGATACCATAGCTTTTAACACAGACATTTGGTATACATGTCGGCGAAAAAGTCGGTATTTTTTTACTATGTAATTTCAGAAACATTTGTACTGTACTACATTTCTCAGGTGCATACAATCCTCCTAGGCAATTTTTTGCAAGAACTTACAACCTGTAGCAGAAGAGTAATAATGTGCATAACCACGAGTTTAATACTCTGTACCACACATATTTTTTAGATACGAGGAAAAAAAATACTCTTTCAGTACATACAAAATTACAAAAACACTCTTTAAAAAGTTACAAATATCCCATAAATGCGTTGTACCTCCGAATGTATGCAGGTCAGGCCATGTTAACAACACTTCTAATTTCATTATTTGTATATGAATAAAAAAAGGTACCGTTGTTTGATCAAATCACCCAGAATGCACCTGATCTCATTTAGATCTCGAACGCCAAGTCGGACTGAGCCCAGATATTACTTGGATGTAAAGCCGCTGCAGGGCTTTATTGGCAGCAGAGGACAATGCCTACAAATCAATTGTTGCACTGTACTATGCTCCTAAATCTACGATTCCTGCCTTCACTGACCCACGCTGACCAGCGTGGTCGGCGACCCACGTTTGACAAAAGAAGCCCGGTAAACCGCAGTGTAGGGAGGCTCTCATCTGGCAGTGGATTGACACAACTAACTCTACGTGTGCCCGTACGTAAAGAAGAAGGCATACAATTGTCTGGTGAAATGACAAGTGTTAGCATGCTGAAGAGAATGAGCAGGGTATAACTGCCCTCTAAACCAACAACGCTGAATTACAACAGTTGGCCAACCTTCCTCCATCCCTTTACAGCACCGTTTGCAAACGGCTTCTTAATATCTTAACGCTGGGATGCGTTTACGTTGTACAAACAAAATTATATTCCGCACGAGGTCAGCAAGCTACCCAGGGATTTCGGAAAGCCGCATTCATCAAATCCTATTACAGAACATCTTTTCTATAATGCATTGAACTTAATCCTTCCCAAAAATAAACTTGTAAATGATAATATAACAAAACATACCGTATATACCATAGTTTGCGTCGTGTTAAAATTACTTTGAATGTATGTACAAATACCAACAAATCAAATGATTGTCATCAGCTTTTACTTATGGTTTTTTTGCGTACTAAGTGGTACATAAACCGAGAGTGAGCATATGCTCTGTCCGAGTACAATGGGATAGCAATAACAGTTCCGTCAGCCACAGCGGTGACACACATCCACATGGGAACTCTTTTGTTGTTGCAAAACATGCACCGAGGAGACGAGCTGTAAAGGACGCCCGATTCTCCATCTTCGTAGTCACACGTTCGAGAATGCCCACAACGTTCTACTCGGGGCTTAATTTCTCACCAAATATATTTTTTGGGGTTGCCCATAGACCAGGGCTTTGGGATGGGTGGGTGGGCTGGCCACGTGAATATGAGCCACAGCCAGAGCTGCTATATAGGTATATACTCACCCAGAAAGAACTGGGGAAAAATGAAGCCCTGGCTCTACCGTGGTGTAGGCATATTGCCAGGCAGCTTTTAAGACGGAGGTCACAAGAAGTCTTCGGCGTTCCAGCTTTTATGGGGGGGGGGGGCACACTCAGTAGACGCCGGTGTCCCTGTAGGTGACCTCGGCATGCTCGTGGGAGTTGAAGTGCACGTGGGGAGGGGCGCTGCCCTCGGCTGGCGGGGCCCGGCGGCGCTCCGTCTTCACCACGGCGCGCTGGCTGTCCGGGAAGGCGAGGGAGAAGACCACCTCGGGGTCGCACACGAAGCGGTACACGTACCGCTCGCCTGCCACCTGCCCGACCGCAGAGCGACGCGGGATCAGAGGTGGGACACGATGGAAGTTGAGTTGATTAGCGCAACAGGAAACAGCTCAAGTTTCTTGTTGTGGTCAAGTAGTCGGGAGGGGGCCTCTTTAATAAATTGGAAGCCCCCCAGCCCACATCCGGCCTTCCCGAAAGGCAGGAAACCACCTACAGACCGTGCTGAGCGTTTATCGTGTTAATGTGGCAAAGCCCAAACTATCACGTCCGATCCGGTCGCACGTGGAGCCAGAGGTGTCATTGGTTTTCCTGATTATTTTCGTGTTATCCGACTGCTTGAGTAATCGATTACTTAAATAATCAGATGGCTCTAAACGAGACGAGCCCACACTCTATAGCTGGTGGCAGAGTTGATTAGCACACAATAAATGCGTTTATTATTCTATTCGTATATAATAATATACAATTGTGTCTTGTACTGAATGCCACATTGATCACGATATTCTGTTAAACTAAAAAGACATATACAGTATGTTGCATAGTCAATTTTATGGGAACTGAAGCATACATAGGTGGATTAGAAATGTTGGGATTTGTCAACATCTATAGAAAATTAGTTATGCTATGCACAAATATTGCAATGTGTATGGGTGGTTAATTGGTGAGGGTGGATATGTGACATAGCTCTTATCTTGCAGTTGCACACCCAGATTGTGTGTTCTGGGATAGTCCTACATGAGTTTGTTAAACGATGAGGGAACATTGCTTACCTTTTGCATGATGCCCTTCTCATAGTAGTATCGCAGGGAGCGACTCAGCTTGTCGTAATTCATGGCTGGCCTGTTCTTCTGGATTCCCCAAAGCCGTGCCACCTGCAGTGCAATGGAACCAATGGCACAATGCTTAGCTTAAAGGGGAAGATGAAATATTTACTGCTCGTAACGGTATTAGCCCCAGTGTCATGGGAAAAAAAATCGAAAGGTCAATGAAGAGAACTCTCTGACACGGCCAGAGGCGAAGGCGAATTTTGCCAATTTCAGACCCACCGAAACATGTACAGCCCTTTATTTTTTATCAATCCACTGCTGGATGAGGGCCTTCCCATGCCATGTGATGGTTTGCTTGATGGTCCTTCTCCACACTGGTCAATTCCGAGTCTGTTCGCAGGTGGGTGAGCATAGATGAGCACAAAGACAGACAATTGATTTTGCACCACTGTCCCCACCATGTAAACCTTACAGCCCTCTGACAACATGTTTGTGCACGGCGGTCACCCAACCAAGCAATATGCAGGCTCAAGACTGCTTATCTTCTGCAGTTTGGTGAATTCTGGGTGAGTTGGTCAAATGTGACCATGATATAAAATGTACAACAAAGAGCCCACGGGTCTGACCATTTGTCTCAACAGTATTCCGTGCTGACAGCTGAGGCACAGCAACTGACCTCTTCAGGATCGAGGAGTTTGAACTCCATACCACGCCCCGTCCACACGATGGTGCCGGCGTGTACAGGGTCCTCCAATAGCGCCACCAGGAACTGCCACAGCTGCAGCGAGCCACGGCGCTGGTACATGGGGGGCGGCACGCTTCTGTATCCGCTTACATCACCTGCGGGCGACCACGCACAAATACATTGGGAAGGAAATGTATTTGCAGTCCTTGCTGCACAAAAATGCAGTCTCTTGCACCATGCTGTTTCGGTCATGGGGGCAGTTTGTTTTGACCATACTTCATCACGCTCATCGGTGGTGGTTACGGAAGGGAGGGGAACGGGGACCGGTTCATTCACCACCGACGTTACTCGTTGTCAGGAATAGAACTTAGAGGTTGCTGGGTTCTTTGACCAATGTGCCAATACCCCAGGAAATAAATTTGCCCAAACGATTAACTAAACAAATCGTGCCATTTAACAGTTTAATTAGCCAAGTCCTGGGAATTACATTTAAATGATACACCAAACTGAATATTTAAGTTGTTACTTATAAAACCAAAAATAGAAAGATTTAGCATGTTTAGATAAAATAATTATAAATGTGGGTCGTTACTAAGTGGGGATAGGTGTTAATTGAGTGGAACACTCTTTCCAAACTGAAAATAAACCCACTGTTCTTGGAACCACAAATGTAGCAGCACGTACCCAGGAAGGAAACAATACATACTTTGATGAGCATCTGGAGTGTTTTGTGTTTTCCAAAAATATAAAGGTGCATACACAATCACGTGGAACATACTGACATGTAGTTTCACACACGTGTATGTATTGTTCATTAATGTGTACATTGGACTCTACTGTTGCATTTACGATTATTATCGATAGATTTTTAGCAAAGGGATATGCATTTTTTGTAACGAATCAGTTCAGTGTTTAAATACCAACCTTCATTATGTGATGACGAATAGCCTTCTCCATTCATGTACATGGACTGCCCGGTGGGCATATCTAGAGCAAAAAAAAACAATAACTTAGTACGTCAGCAAGATCATGAAAAAAGTTTACAAAATAGCTGTAAATGTATTCTCCATATAAATTAACATTTTAAAAGTGAACAATACCGGATAATGTAATAGAAATGTTGCACGTTAGATGGTAAAGTATAACCATTAACACTCAAGGTCCATCTAATAATTTTCACCTTTAAAATTGTATCGTTTAATTCGGAAATCATTCTATATATCTTGTCTAAGTATTTGAAAACCTTAAAAAAATCTCATCCCGTGGGTCACAAACAAGAGCAATATTTCAATGCTAAAATAATTGCATAAAAGGGTATTTGTATTGAAGGCATCACAAAACCTTTATGGCCGAGGATGATATAGAAATGATTCTTATGGACAAGGTCTTGTAAGATGGATTCAAGGCCACGTTAGATCAATGTGATGGGGGGACAATTTCACTGGGGCCCAACCGCAGACACCCTCCATTACTGCAGGGGCAAAATCCAAGGTTCAATTTATTTGTGGATATTTCAGACAGACTCCCTGGACGATCTCTCTTCAGTTTTCAAGCGAGAGAATTGGATTATCGTGAAAGTACCACAGAGGCTTCGATCAAGATCAGTTGTGAGAACTTCGTAATTAATAAAATACAAGTACAGTATTGGTTTAATCTCGAATTCGGCTTGAATCCATAGTGTTTATATTATGTTAAATCACCCGTACACAATCTGCAGATCCACCCTTTCCTCTGCAATTAAGTGTATTGCTAATTAGTTTTCCCTTGAAAAAAATCCCATTCAAAGTACTGTACATTTTTGTTAAGATCTGGAGATATGAAAAATTAGATGTACTGTTATTTAATACTTACTACCCATATTATGACGGTATATCAATGTAAGTTAAAGATGAAAATTAACTATAAAATAAAACCTGTTTATACGAGCAATCTGTAATATACACAGAATGCACAACGGCATTCTACGAGCAAGCTGCAATTTTTACGCGAAACATTACATTACGGTACCAAATATTTGTTTACACGTTAATGCACTATCTAACAAATCTGTAAACTAAAATAATTACTTTCTTTGTGTCAGTCTTGATGGTGAAGTAAACTGTTTATGCAAAAAAAGTACGCGAATATAAACAAAACGCAAGCGCTCTGGCAAACCTCACCCGTTTGGTAAGGGCAGTCTGACCGCTCCTGCACCATGTGGGGTGGGGGACGAAATTCTGGCCTCCCCATGTTGCCGTGCATGACATGCGTCTGGGGCGGCTGTGGCCCATGCGAACGCTGGCCCAGGTGGCCAGGGTACGCATCCTCGCCCGGGTACCCCATGGGCCCCGTGTACTCTTGCTTGATGCCTCCCGGAGGTCCCGGCGGAGGGGGGAAAGGGGCCATGAGCGGCTCGGAGGCTTGGCGGTGGAAGGGGATGCAGCCTGGGCGAGACATGTGCTGAGAGGGGGGATACGGAGAGCACGGCTCCGACAGATGCCGCTGAAACCTGTGGTCGAAGAAAAAAAAGAAAAAAATTACACTTGGCTCAGATGCGGAAAAACCAGAGTGCAGCTAAATATCGGTCATGACATGATAACGACTGAATCTTTGCTATTAAGAAAAGTGAGCAGGGCTCCCCATCTTTTTATCCCCTTCTTTTTATAACCGGTTTAGTTGATGTTGACGGTGTGCATGTACGTCACAACGTGATGTAACGGACCCGCGCATTGCCTCAATAAAAAAAAGTGAGTGGGATTGGGAAGAACACGTCGCTCGCTACAAGGAATGATGGCCGGTGGGTGAGACAATTTGCCAAAGGAGTGGCAGCTAAACGAGGGCAGGTTGTCCAAGAGGACTTCACCATGGAGATGGAGGTGCTAGGTGGATTGTTACAACGCAGGACCATGGAGAGATGGTGACGGCTTTGGGAGGCTTTCCTCCAGCAGTGGATTGGTAATGGCTAATGATGATGATGGTGGTGGTTGAGATACGAATGATGGGTGTTTATAGTACAGCAGTTCATTTCAGTAATGTGATGGAAATCAAGAAAACCATTGAGTACTTTGGAATGCTGGCCAAGAAGTGATTTGCTACTCTAAGCATTTCCATACATAAGATAAGACTGAGATACAAGGGGGAAAGTACAAATATTATCGACATTTGTTATGTCTAATTTTCTTCACCTCCACATTTACATATATGATCACACTATGTTATACGATTAGCATAGACGCTGGCGCTACTTATTCACAATCTCAAAATCGATGTGGGCCAGACGCTTGGAAATAGCGAGTCACAGGGAAATGTTTGAAGTGATCGTAACGGAGAATGAATGACGGGGCACTGTAAGGAGATAAAATCGTACACCCGACGAAATCACCAATCAGAGAAATAGGCGTGGCATTCCCCATATTTGGTATTGTGGAACGTGAATTGAGATGAATTGTATCGATTCTGCTCAGTCGATCCATAATAAACTAACATAAAAAATACCGGGTTAATCATAGTGTGCGGGTTAATTGCTGTGTCGATTCATCGCCAATAGATCCATGGATTGAGTAATGATGCGACACGCCCCCTTCATTTGACTGGCTAATATCTGCTAAATTGGCGATTCCACCGCAGTTCCGCTTTAATTGCACCACAGGGCTTCTGGCGGATGCATGCCAACCTGCTGTCATTGTAGCCGCTGACATCGGCAGGAGAAGGGGCCGCGGTGGGGTACGGGCTTGAAAAGGGCCCCGCGACGGTGTGTGAGGGCGCCGGGGCCGGGCTGGGCATGAGGCGCGAGCACGGTGCCGAGCTGCTGCTGCACGGCTGCTGCTGCTGTTGCTGCTGGTGTTGCTGCTGGTGCTGTTGCTGCTGCTGCTGTTGTTGCTGCTGTTGCTGGAGTGATGACACGGGCGTTGTACAGGAGGGCGAAGGGCTGCCACTCACACTGAGCACCCCATCCCTCTTCAGAGAGTAGCCACTGGAAGACAAGCAAGACAAAACGTTAATAATTATTCACAAACGATTTGTCAATCCACTGCTGAATTAAGGCCTTCCCACATTGTGTTAGTCATGGTTTGTTATTTTTATGCTTTTATTTTAACTCAATGTGAGCACCGATCACAGATGTGTTTTTGAATATAAATTCGATGAACAAACCAAAATTGTACTTGATTACTTTTTTTGTGGTCAATTGCTTAGGCCCCTTTTAAAAATGGCAGCTGTCCCTCGACATCCTGCCTCTCAAAGGCAGGAAACCCCATAAAAGCCACTCTCGGTGACAAGGCTGATGATGTCAATGACATCGTCAGGTTACGCCCATCAACGCAAACGGCCAGTGGCAGATGTGGGAACAGAGCTGAGGCTTTTTTTTCCGCAACTATTTCCATATTATTTCATTTGTCGAGTAAATGAATGTACGATGATCAGTAAATCAAATGATGACACAATCCTATTGCCTCCCTCCAACATTCATGTCATGACAAACAGGCGAACGAACACCCCAATGCGCGCAGAAATGCACGTTGAATTTTTTTCGCACCGTATGTAGCCAACCGTGCTGATTGTGATTGGAGGTGCGATTGGCAGGGTTATACGAAATACCGACGTCGAAAAAAAACGCTGAGCCAAAGCAGCATCCCCCAAGGTGCACACGAGGCGCCACTCACCCGGGACTGGAGTGGCAGGGCGCAGCGGACAGCAGGCCCTGCATGTGCTCCTGCGCGCACGTGGACGCCTGCAGGCACGTGCCTCGGCCCTCCTTCTTGATCTTCACAGGGGCGTGGAATGCCACTGGGAGACAACGAAGGGACGTCAACCGATGTGAGCCGCGGCAGTGTTTGTGAAATATCTTCGGACGGCTAACACTCGACACAATTGGCCAGATGAGGCTAATGGCCTTTGTGTGTGGTCACCCCTTCCCTGTCATATTGTGCTGGCAGTGGACCTCGATGTTTAATTAAGCAGTAGCTTAATTAGTCAAAGTCAATAATTAAATTACGTACGTTAATGCAGCACACGATATATTTTTTAATGTCCTTTTTCCTTAAAGTATGATGACTAATTCAAAACCAAAGCACAATGCCAATTGTTTACCTTGCTGGTGGCACTGTTATGTCATCAAAGCCAAGGCAACATATATTCTGCGTGTGTTAATAAACATGACAAAACATAGTAAATTACATGTTTAGTTAACATAGTGCAGTTGCAATACATTTTGGACTACTTTGCCAAGCAGCATTTTTTAAACTTACATTTCAAGTTATAAATAGAATAATAAATAGTGCTTAATAGTAAAGTTGAAACTATTTTTGTCAGTAGGGTATGTTGGTATCGCGTCAAACTAAAATATAAAGTGCTATTGCGAAGTTAATCTTGAATTGCATATCCTTGCTACTGCATGAGATTGAGTTTTTTGAAGATACGTCATACTGGTTCATAGGGACCATAATAGCCAGGTTCCATTTTTCATTCCAAAAGAAGACGAGGAGCTTCCACTGCTACAGTACGGACTTTAAAAATCAGTGGCTGCTTCATTTGAGAGCTAAGGTACATGTGATATTACTTTTGAAGTAATAAAACAACTTAAAAGTGACAGCGATCACGTTCAGTGATTTTCAAGTCAATGTCCGGCAAAGCAAAGTCACCGATTGACAACATGTACTTTGTGTGTTTCTGACGGTTGGAGCATTGAGACCTTGTGTTGAGAATGTGTGCATTATAAATAACAATGATGGGAAAAAAATGAGAAACATATTTCTAAACTACACCAAATGTCACAAATTCCACATTGTTTTCAGACAGGTGCTCGGTGGGTGAAATGCAAGCAATGTGTTTGTCTTCGAGTCAAATTTCACAACAATAGTGCTCTGTTAAGAACTACTAGAAGCGACACCAGTATCCCCACATTGCAATTCAGGTTAATAGAAGATTAGCAAATACTTTGGCAAGCTTCTACACACTCAATTTTGCAGAGCCATACAATGCATAAAGTAACAAAACAGTCTATAGCCGAATGTTAAATCGCACCCTTTTACCATTTAAACTTTTGCCCAAAGTCTTAACATCTTGACGGTACAAAAATCATTGCAAAACATCAGTTTCACATATATGTGTGTGTATATATGGGCATGATGCAACCATTTGTTGCAGATTAGCCCTGCACTAAATCTTTCACCTGGGAAAACACTCCAAGAGGGCACACCACTGCGTCAAAGTTAATCTGCAGTGACAGCCAGTGACCCAGCACTTCCCCCAGTACAGTGTTTGGCACGAGATGGCATTAAGCGGGCAGCTACTGAAGCGAAATGGCAACGCATCAATAACTGCAACAATCTCTGTTTGCAAAGGTGACTCCCCCCCCCCCCCCCCCCCCCCGTCTAGCGTGTGACCATTGAAAGCCCCGATAATGTGAAGCAATAATTTAAACAAATTTTAACTCTGCACACTGTGTAAGGTAAATGCTGCCCCCGCACCTGCTGTTTAATCACTACGGAATGTTTTATTCCGCTGCCAGACTCGTATGCGAGCGATGTTCTCGAGCAGCTGACACCTCTGCACTGCTGTACGCTTGATCTTCTAACAGAATCACGAGTGCCCTAACAGTACAGTACTCGTGACCTCATAGCGGCGCTTTGAGCGGTCAGCAGTGAATGGCGTCCGTACAAAACCCTTGACCTGTTATGCAACCACCGACTTCTTTGTGCAGCACAATATACGGCTCTGTACAGCCAACGTAGAGCCCCGCAGTGATTAACGACTACAACTCAGTGACCGAGTCAGCTTTGCTATAAAATGTCTTAATATCTAATTCATTAATTTTTTCGTTATCTCTCAAATCTTCTGCAATGCCCTACTCTTTTTCATAAAGCGAAATCCAGCGATAATGACCACGGTTCCATTTTGCTGGTTGCCACATCGATTATCGCAAAAGCTGCTCTGTTATGCAATTTGCAATTTTTTTAAATCCATGAAAAGTATCCCGATTTTATAAACCGAGGAAGCGATCATTATAATCTCTTTGATCTAGATCATCATACATCTCAATGTATACTACTGGCACCCCCCAAAAATCCCTTAGATTATTCACGTTGCTAATTGCCTAAGTGGAATGGGATGTTCCATCTCGCTCCCCTAAGCCGAAAGGCACTTAGCAAAAGTCTGTAAAGTTGCACGCCGACCGATGCGCACGAGCGCAGAGTTGCGAGCATTACAAGCGGCGTTTTTAGTTATTCGAGAAACAATGAGTGGTGGGTGGGAGGCCTCGAGCGACGCTACCACAGACGCGAATGAAAAATCCGCTCAAGTTGAACGCCGACGCTCCTCGGACGAGACCGGTTGTGCGACTTCCGACAAAAAAAAACCCGAGCTGGACAAACACTGCGAGACAGCTCGACGGAGTTGGTTCAATAACGAGAGTGTGGGCGCCTTAATCTCTTAACCACTCTCCACCAAAAAACGCTCTCGTCCGAGTGATGGGAGCGACGGGGCCCTCCACGGTGGCTTACTGTGCAAGATACTTTCGGTCTCTCGGTATGCGAGCCTTATTTACTAACAATGTCAACGTTCATACGTTTTAGTTTAAATACATGCCTTGTATTTTTTTTCGTTGTTGCTTTAACATTTAAGCGTTACCCTTGTCGTAAACAACAGATAACCGTGGACAACGAAACGAGCCAATGTAAATGCGTTACGAGCAGCGACTGCCCTCAAAATACATCGGTGTGCACCGTATTAACGTAAATATATTTCTAAATATTGAAACCAAAAAATACATATAGAAAGTCAACAAATATAGAGACGCAAATCAGAGCGTTAGCTCTTCAATAATTCCTACTGTTACAAATAAGCATATAACAGACCATCAGTTAACAGGCTTCAACATCATTGGCTACAATTAGCACCGTACATTCTCAACCTGTTATTATCAAGTCTGCGGTCTATAATTAATACCTTTAGCCCACATAGCGCCAAGTTTTTTTTTTAATAAGACACATGCCTACATTTTTTTTTAAATTTGAAGTAAAGGGGGTTAACTTACAATTTTCTGATGAGAAATCCAGCATGAATGGTTCCTCCTCATCAGGAACCTTGGCTGTAAAATAAGAACAATGACTGTTAAAAAAAGCCATTTCTGTGACTTACAAATAATATATATGAACACACAATCTTCTCATGCCAAATACAAAAAGTGCACACTACATAATATTTATATCAAACATCACATTTGATTTATACATCTTTGTACTCTAATAATTAGTGTATACTTAAACCAGACAGATGTAAACCAGAACTAGGGATTAATTTTGTATATATTTCGGTATCAAATGTTACACGTGGGTGGATGTCTTCTCTTCCACTATATATTTTATTCTGTAATGCACTTTGCATAAACTTATTCTAGCACCGTCTTTTAAACACAAAGCAACTTCCGCCAAAAACACAATAGATTAAAGTACATAGCGACACGGCTTCAACAAATCAAACCTTAGCACGCACACACACATTTGACATAAAGCCTAACACATTCACACAAATGCGTACGTACACATTACACATTCTCGTACAGAATAAGAGAATGAGACATGCGAAAAAGCCGTTGAACTCGGCTGGAAGGTGAGTTTAACTTGGCAGAAATGTTTGGCAAATAAAATAAATCTCAGTGCACTCTACTTTGTCATCACATACACACACAAATAACAGGACGCAGACGAGATCGTCTGCGCTGGCCCCACAGAGAAGCCCCACTCCTCCTCCTCCTCTCTACCAGCAGCACCCCCACCCCCACCACCAGCCTGAGCGAGTCTCAACAGCCCCGGCTGTCAAACACCTCCTCGTCTGCACCCCCCCCCACCTCCCTGTCAGGCATCATCAAGTCGGTGGTGATTTATAGCGAAACTCCCAACAACAGGGCCGGTAACGCCAGCACGCGCCAGAGTTTTGAAAACTCATCTCTTTAGAAGAACTGCTTGTTGATGTTTAGTTCTTGTTGTCCTTACCACCCCCCCGCACCTCCGATTAGCAACGCTTGATTATGTACGGTGCGAATGAAGTTCAACATAATACATACATACATACACCCGTATGGTTCACCAACTATCGCATGGTGAATTCAAACGAAACCAAAACATACACTTGCAGTTTCACATTAATTGATATGCATGGATAACAAGTTTTATTCTAAAAATATTTTAACACCCGATCCCATTCACCAATGAGACTTCTGATTCAGTAGAAGTAAATGGCTCACTCACCCTCCACCAGCCAGGCTTCCTGCAGTTGGCTCAGAGTAAGAAAGAGATCTGTGGAGACAGAGAGTGAAAATAATTATTAAAATATACATCAAGTCAACAGGTTTCATATTTGTTGACAAAACTTGCTTGCGTTGCACTATTAACATGTATAGCGCTCCGATGCATTTTCTGGTTTTGCTGCATGTCGTTCGGCACGATGTCATGCGGCACAAGCCAAACAACACAACAGATAATAATATTAATCTACGCTGCATTCCAAACCTTCAGTGTCTTGAGCCAGGTCTTCATCGAGATCCATACACTTCCTCTTGCGCTCCACGGCTAGGCGCTGAGCTCCTCCAGCCTCTTGGCTCTGAGAATTCGGCACGGAAGGCGCGCAGTCCATTTAATCGCCCTTAAGGAATTTCCCGTGCACTCTGTGTAGACCTCACTACACACTGGGCCCCACTTGGACGCAGCGGCAAAGTGCCATTGCATTCATGCACTGGTGTACTTGCGTAAAAAAAAATTAAACTACCATGAAAAAACGTCTTGATTTGATCCAATAACGAGCACCTCGAACTAAAAATAATTATCGCGGTATAATGTAACAATTTAGGGCATCTTGAGCATTCGGGAAAAAAAATAGGCGCTCGGATTTCCATGCGCATTTTCTTCTGAGTCGTGGGCGTAGTGCCAGCCCCTTAATTCGTTCTCCGTGCCCTAAAACAATGAATGACCTTTTTATACAGCACGCTCGGTAATTAAAACCAGAGAATAACCTACCCACCTAAATCATTACCGTCGCTCGGAGCAGGTCCGCAAAACCCCAACCTCTCCAGAAGTCGGGGCGCCTCAAATTCATAAAAGAAAAAAACTAGCCACGCTATCCAACGTATGCCGTTAATCCAGGTTACCCGCGGGCGGTGGCCAACGCACCGTTGTGTTCGCGTAGGGGACCTCCTGGTCGTAGATGGTCTCCATGCTCGTCTGGAAGCCCCTTTTGATGTGACGCCACGGCAGGTCCTCCTATGTGTGGCCAGAGGAGGAGGTGCAAGCAGCAGGGGGAGGAGGTGGTGATGTTGAAGGGGTAGGAGGTGGTGGTGATGTTGACGGGGTAGGAGATGGGGAAAGGAGTGGAGGCGGGGAGAGCAGGAGAGAGGGGGGGGGGTATCAGAAGCGGAGATGAAGGAGGAAGATAAGGAACGGGAAAATAGCTGGCGAGGAGATGGCGAGGATGCCAGCAAGAGTGGATAATAATCGGCAGAGAAAGGTTAGGTTTTATAGAAGTTTTGGAAGAATTGAAGATGACATTTTCAGTAGAGTATAAAGTGATGGAGAGTAGAAGTTGGAAAAGGGTAGGGGGAGGGGAAAAGAGAAGTCGTGGGTGAGAGAGTAGGAGACCCTTGTGAGAATCGGCGACCAAGAGCGCGCAAAACGAACCCCCGACTCGTGAAGTGGGCCAAGTTTGGCGCAAAGCGCGTAACGTAATTAGACGACGAGGAATAAACGAATGTTGAGTCTCCACAAAAGGGCTTGCGGATAAAAGCGCGTGAGATTTACAGTGCGTAGCAGGAGCCAGCGGCTGGCCGAGTAGGCAACCCAGGCAAAGGCAGACCGCAGTTCGATAGCGGAGGTTGTAATGCTCCTTTTCGCCTTGCTCTCAAAGCTCCAGTAACCCTGCCCTTCCCCCACGAAGGACAAGCTGATGAAACCTAAGGCAAAAAAAAATCCCCCACCACCCCGCACTCCTCCTCCTCCCCCCACCTCTGAATCTCTCCACCCCCCCCCACCACCCCAAGTCTCTGCAACACACACGCACGCACGGACGCACCAAACTCACAACGCTGAGCTGTAAGTGAGCGAAGCCAATGCGAGGTTTGTGAATGGGCGAGTGGAGTCGCACTGGAGCTCCATTCACAAAAAACCCCCAACCACAACACGTGGCCCCGCCCGCCCGCCGCCCGCACAACCTCAGCGTAACTGCCCCGGGCTCGGCACAACGTCAAGTTTTAAGACACACGGAGAGAAAACTCACAATACTGCTGCTCAAGACGGGCAGCTAAAGCAGAGAAAGGCAAGCCAGTACCCGCAACAACAACAACAACACCACCAGCGCAATCATACTGATACTCGCAACTTTATATCGCCAAAAAAATGATAATCACGCCGCTCATGCCAGTAACTTTTACAACAGCACCACCGGCTAAAGTATAAGCAACAATATAAACGTCCAGTACCCCAATTAGTAAAACAGCGATGGTAATTTTACCACTTATATAAGAGGACCATCAACTCTACTCCCAACTTAACAAACAGCATTAACAGCATTAACACCAACGCCATCAACAACGTACAAAACTCTTACAGCGTAAACAAAATCAGCAACACCAGAAATGGCAGATAAACAGTGACTCTACCATCAAAATAACCCCCCAAAAAACACCACCACAACCACATAAAACAGCAGCAGCTGCACCCATCAAAACAGCAGCAAAAGACGCCAATCATATCAACAGCTAAACACATCCCACAGCAAGCAGGGACACTGGCAATGTTACAGTGGTTACTTTAGTAAACACCGTTATAGTAGACGTGACACATCCATCAGTGTGCCAATCTGGCATGATTTCAAAGTTACTTTGCACGGCTTTCTTATATCCAATTGTCAATCCACTGCGGGATGAGAAGACACCTTCCACGCGCCGTCTGTCATTAGGGTTCTTTGACCATACTTCACCACGCCGGTAGGTGTGGGTTGGTGAAATGGGGGTGGTGGGATATGACTCGTCACTGATGTTGGCCCTAGCCACGAATCGAACTCGGGTCAGCTGGGGGTTGGTAGTGCAGTGCATTAACAACTGCGTCACTGCACCAATGGTTTGCGCAAAAGTCCTTCATTACCGTTATGATGATATGACATACTCTACCGATGGTTGTGATGTACGCTTTTTTTTTGTTTATGGTTTTTTTCATTTTAAGTTTTGACCCTTTAACTTTTATAAATATTTTAAATAGCATGTACGCCTTTGTTTGTACAATAATTATATATTGCATTCACAACTTGTCCTACGCATTAGTATTAAACATTGCTATATGCGATTTTGATTGGCAAAAACAACTTTATGAAAGTCATATTTATGATGTACAGCCCTTTGTACATGTCGTCCCCCTACGCCTTTAGGGCCAATGGTATTTCTATTATTTTGACCATACTTCACCACGCTGGTCATTGCGGATTGAAGGGCGGGGCGGAGCCTTTCGACCGGTTCAGCGATCTTCGCCGTGGCAAGGAATCGAACTCAGGTCCGACGGAGTTCATGGCGCAATGCGCTAACCACTGCGCCACCGTTCTGATTATCATCCAGCAGCGGATCGATACTACGAAGCCAACTCGATCGGCGCTCAACGTTGTTAAATAACATCCGCTAAACAGGCACCAATCACACAGTAGTGCACACTAACTAAGCAAACGTAAAGCGTACAGTTTTTTTTTTAAACCGCGAGTGGAAACTACGCGAGACAAACCCAGTCCGTTTATAGTTGACAACAAAGCGAATTAATATAACCTCACCGTTGTTTTAGTATTATTATCGCTGCGAGTTAAAAGCCAAGAGTGAGTGAGTGACACGGATCCATAAACCTTACCTGCGCGTTGGCTGGCTGCTTATCCGCCTCGAATTAACGAGTTGAAGAAGCAGCGTCGTTAAATCATACCAATCTAATTACTATGTCGGTATTTGAAGTAATTATTATTATTAATAACTGTTGTTGTACAATGTAGGTCGTTGTTGTTGTTGTTCCTGCTGCTGCTGCGTCACTGAGTGGCCACCGTAGGCGGGCGCGCGCGCTCGAGTGACCGCCTCGCGCCTCGCGCACGCGGACCCCGGCCCACGGCCCCGCCCCAACAGAGCCCTCCCATTGGCTCAGAGGCGCCGAATACAATTATTTAATTATTCGAGCTCGCGGGGTTTCGTCGACCAATGGGAACCGCGGGTTGGGGTTGGTAGAGGGGGGGAGGTTTGTAGTGGGGGGGGGGCACCGCCGCGACTCTGGCCAATGAGGAGACTGGGCGATGGTTCATTCACAAAATGGAACTGGGGGAGGGTGGCTCCATTCATAAAATGGAAGCCTTGAAAAGAAAAAAGCGGATCTTTTTGCCTCGTGTTTCTTTCAACATTACCAGCCTTAAGGTGATTCAGTTTGTCCAAAAAAGCAAATGTATTTCTTGTAAATTATAACAAAAAAATATGCATTTCTAGGTTAACATGAAGCATATAAATTAACCCCCCTCCCCCAATAAAAAATGCTTTACGGAGTATTGTATGACAATGCATATTTGTTAAACTTTTCTGAATGTGTTGTGTGTTTATAAGGCTTCTGGAAGCAGATGAATACGTCCATGGGGAGTTATCCAACTTGCTGGAAGTAGCACCCTTTGTGACATTCACAAGAGGTAAACCTGTGCACGGCTGTGTTATCCCAACGTACCATCTTAAGAAATGTTAAACAAATCACTCGTAACGATAGCAATTTGTATTCAGTAATAATATTACCACTTGCAAAAAAAACCACGATAGGATTGATCTCATTAAGTTAAACATGTAGTTAAGTAATAGATGAAAGAACAGCACCGGTGCATCAAATGGTTGCATACTGTTGCCATTCTATTCTGTTCTTTGCGTATGGCAGCAGTAAGTTTAGGAGCTAGATGCCCACACATGTCGAGAAGGCTTCAGGAGAGAGAGAGCTCGTGGGGTGTTTCGATTCCTCCTCGTCCGTTGTAGGAGCGCAGACTACAGGCGGGTTTACTAGACGGTCCATAGTTCGGGTTGCATGAATGTTGCGAAAGTGGTTTCAATATATAATTAAAAAACCCCTGGTTGAGTAATGGGAATGCGTGCAGATGTTTTCAGAAATGTGCGTGCATGTAAATGCGTCGTGTGCGTGCGTGTCGCACAGAGGTATACATAACGGCTTCGCGTGTGATGAGTTAAAAACATTTGTGCCAACTTTTACGCGTGCACTCACAATCCACATACACGCGTGTGCATTCTAAACTACGCACTCGTAAAGTTAAAGTCGAACAAAAATAAGGCACAAATAAAGTACAAAAAAATAGCGATCTACATTCGTCATTTAACAACTGACTATAAAAAAAAAATCCTCTCCTAACCTCGTGGTAAATGAGTAAAAAAGCGAGTTTGCTTTTTGCTTAGTTGACCACTGAAACGTAATTTATTCGTTGTTGTTTTCATTGTAATGTGCATACATTACTGAATCTATGTTCGTGCATGTAACATGGGTAGGACCTTGTGCGACGTGTTAACATTGCCACTGTGGAGACAAAGGCGGCCAGTCGTGGTGTTGGCCACCACACTCTCTCGTGTGCTGTGCCGGCCTTCATAACAGCACTCGCCCCAACAGTTTGTCTTGCGAATTAAACACCCACGTTATACATTAACAACAGGTAGCGGACAAAGCCCGTGTACTATCGCCAATAACGTCACACTCAACGGGAGGCAAATGTGCATTCATTACTATACTCACTGATGATTGGGATATACTTCTAAAGAGTTTAGCAAAAGACTTAAAGGATTGTAAAACTATACGCTGTTTTGCCCTAATTACCCAGCGTAAGTGAAACCAATCAGCCTTCTAAGCAAGCCATAACTTTTTGTGGCCCAAATAAAATATATATACAGTACATTTTATTTCTCGATGTGCGCTGCTGTGTTAACACCCGACTATAATTGTGCCACATGTCACCGTTCTAGAACACAATGTAGACATTACACTCGCCATTATACGTTGTAAATTTCATCTTATTGTTGTGCACTTCACTTTATTGTCGTTTTCGGTAAAGTCACGTAGGTAAAACATCAAAATTAATAAAAATAATAAAATAAAATAAAGTTTTTTTAAATAAATATTTTATTTTATTATTTTTATTAATTTTGATGTTTTACCTACGTGACTTTACCGAAAACACCTAAGAATATGATTCCTTGCAGTCACGAAAGCTTCAAGTCTAGAATTTATTGTCGTTGTACCTGCCTGCCATTGCAACCCTTAAGACAAAGGCGTGTAAGCTTCACTTGGATATAGAGATAATTATCGGAGTGACCATTCCCTTAGTCACAGCCTCGTATGTTCCACTGTACGGTATTAAACGCTTTAAAAACCCAGAGCCACTTTGCCAATCACACTGCTGGATGAGGCCGTCCTCCCCACGCCGTGTCGGTGATGCCGGGTTGGATGACCATACCTCGCCACCCGTGGTTAGTAGTGCCGGGGTAGGTGATTCGATAAGGATACGTTTGTTCTAAAATTATATTCACATCTCAAAACTAGACACAAAGTAAACATTGTAACGTGACAATTCCGCTCGTACGATGTGTGCAACATAGAGGGAATTGAACTTACAGTATGTATTTTTCACTTTTTGTTACGACGAATACTGCCGTGGTGTGATGGATGGTTAGCAACACAGGACTTGCAATCCAGAGGTTGACACTTCGATCTCACAGTGCGGCAGTGTTTTAATTAGATTGTATTTTAATTACATAAACAGTATACTTACTGTACATTAATAAAAACACAGTCAATCGACAAGGCTGCGTTGTCGTGGAGTAAAGTATGGGTACTCCTATTTCTTCCAAGACGTCTGACCAGCGTGCAATGATAGCCCAAGTAACCAGCGAGTGGCTCTCTTCTCAGGGCTATTTCCAGCACAGAGAGAGGGGCCCATCCACCCAGCAAGGGGCGCCGTGGTGGCCAGGAGATGTTGACTACCTCGCCTGCTATACAGGAGGTCGTGGGTTCGATCCCGACCCTGATGCCTGTTGTATATTTGGAGTTTGCGTGTCTCTCTCCCCATGGCCGCGTGGATTTTTCTCCGGGTCCTCCGGTTTTTTCCCAGTCCACATGTAGAATACGTGCGTTTAGAATATTTGGCTGCTTTAAGTTTCCACGTGATCAGCAACTGCATTGAGCTATCGTTTGTGGCAAGGTTGCTTCTGAATAAGAGCTATATAGCTCAGTGGGCCTTACCTGCTAAAATAATCAAAAATTTAGTTTATAGTTTTTAGAGACAGGCTGACAATATTTCCAATAGTTACACGGGATATTAGGCTGGGAAAGAGCACAGGCGTGAGGGATGCATCGTGTTTGTCAAACTGGGCCGTACCTGCTAAAATAAAAAGTTGAGTTTACTAAGTGGCTTGAGTGAGCAATTGCAGTGCTGCACCTTTACCTGGATCTTTTGTTAAGTTGTGTTTGGCAAACCCGCCCCGTCCCCCCCTAGGCGGGTGATGTTTGTCCTCAGAACTTGTGGCCTAACGTGAGCAGCACTGGCGGTATGTGTGGAGTTTGAGAAATGAGAACCCGTTTCTGGCAAGGGGAGCTCGTGGCAAGAAAGGCACTGCTGCTTGCCACCGGGGGCTTTTCGTGGGGCTGAGAGAGCGAGAGAGGTATTTATAGAACACGTTTACCTCGTGTGTACACCAGACCGTGTAGAGAGCCACACACTACTACCCTTTGTTTAGGGTTTCACAATTGTGTATGCTATGCCTGAACACACCGCAAGCACTTGCAATGTCAAAATTGTTCAAGTGTGTGTTTAAAGGCCGTGCGTGTGCAGTACAGTGCTGTGTGTAAACAAAGTAACGTGCACATTATGCGAAGTTGCGGAGCGTTTTGGGTAAAAGTGTGTGTAAATTATAATCAGAACGCTGTTCTCTTTCTCCACGTAAACAAAACTATATTTAGTCCGTCAGCATTTTGGTTGTCTAGGCCACAAAGGTCAGATATATACATTGCGATCATTTTACAGATACCACACTCATTGCTAAAGCCCCACCTCTTTGTTGTCAACAAGTGATTGAATATTGCGGAGGCGATGGTTCAGTATGTGACAGAGAAAAAGAGTGACCCTATTTAACAAGTGTACTGTGCTGCACTGAAATTGGTGGGAAAACGTGGAGAGGCCTTGCAATGTAATGCTGTATTGTCTATCTCGTTTTAGTGGGGTGTTTGTAAATGGATCACACCGTATACCAAGGTTTATACGTAAAATTAAAGGTTATATTGTATTGGATCATACTAATTATTGGATGTGACTGTAATCATGGAAAGAACTTGAAATATCCTGTTCTCAAAACTGGTAATTATTGTACACCATTACATCCGCACCTCCGATTAGCACGGTTGGCTACGTACGGTGCGAAAGAAGTTCAACATGCGGGTATATTGTAGCCTAACAAATAGAGATGGAGTGCTATGCATATCCCCAACGTTGTCTGTGGGAGGGTTGGTGCCACGTTCATCAATCGTTGTGGCGTGCGGCGGAAAGCGAAAAAAAAAACTGACCCAACTTGCACGAGTGGTTTCATCTGGTGCCCATTTATTTCTTAGCAAAGCGAAGTTCTGCTCACAAACATGTCAAACGGTAATACTGTACGTAGTATAACACGCAAATGATAGGACTCGCGCACCGCGCTCACGATAAGCAAACAGCACGGGGAAACCAAAAAAAGAACGACTTCCCACACGAGAGAGAGCGTGATGGCATTAGCCGACCTGCAATAAACACACGATCAGGCGTGCACGGTCCCGGACTGAGCCTCTTGAATGATGACCGGGAGGTGAGAGGGGGCACACCGCAGGCTGCTGATGATGCTGCTGGACCATCGGAGCTGTGAAGCTCAAGTCAGACACCAAGTGTGTGACACGTTTGTGACGTGTGTGTGTGTGTGTTAAAAAATAAAAGTCTTTGCAAGTCTAAAATTATAAAATAATTGTACAATCTTTGTGGCCTTCATAATGCACATAAAGTTAATGAAATAAATGCATAATGTTTCGTGTTTTGGTAATTGTTCTTTTTTTTTCCTGGCTTTACCACTGAACAGTTACAATTATACAAAGTCAAAACCTGCCGTTGCTGCTGTTAAGTAACCCCCCCCCCCCTTTCACTAAGTTTAAAATGTGATACCATGGCATGAAAAGAAAGAAATAGAAAAATACCATGAACTAACAAATAGTCGAGAAGTAGTCTCTAGGTGCTACGACAGTGGCGCATAAAAGAAGTGTATTTTGTAAACGTCTGTATAAATCTTGCATCGGGCTCGTCAGGTTGTACAAATCACGTTTTTTTTTCCAACCACACAATTTACGGGGCCACGTCAATATATAAAGGACACTGACTAAACGGCGCTGCTGCTAGCACCAACAACACACCGTGTCAAAAAGTGCGGACGCAGAAAATTTACCAGCATGCGTGTTCAATACAATGTACAGAACAAAGTGGTGCACGTACTTGTGCATGCAATATTGAATGTGGTTTTGGAAGGGAAAAAAATTGGTTTGTAGATTCATTCAATCCACACAAATTTATGGCAGGTAAAAATTGCAACGGTGCACAAGAAAGTGAATACTATACAATCCATGTGTGCGTGTCAAAGCAACAAAGTCTGCATCCTGTGTAGTAGAGGTTTTAGATTGTACAGTGCTTGAGAAACCCCTACAACCGATTACCATTATCTTACATACCAGATGGAACAACAAAAGTCGGTTCTCTATTCAATTTAGTGGCTATAATGGCTTTGAAGGCCTGCTAGCCAAAAGGTAGGTTAATCAATTAATGTAAAAAAAAATGACAATGTGATTTAATGTCCTGCATTTGCTTCATTGGGAAAGCAATTTAAGTTTTGAGGCATAATTCAGTATGCAGTATGTTTTTGTCAACTAGGCAGCACATCGTTCATAATGGCTCTCTGGCCCTAAACATCCTGGTCCTGTGTGTAAGCAATTATAGGACCAGTCACATCTTTTGGCCATGGCTGAGTGGGATACTATTCAAAGTACATTAAGTCAAGTTGACCAAGTTTTATAATTTGCAATGGAAATTGTTGTCCTTGAAGGGATATTTGATCAATTCAAATGTTTCTTTAAGCCTACAAATGTTGCATTGAAATGATTAAGTACCAATTTAGAATGTTATAAAATTGATGAATGTTTAACAACACGAGTCAAATATTGTTACCGTCCTAGTAAACAGCACCTCAGTAACATTTCTGGCTTTTTGATTTTGTCACACTGCCTCTTCAATGTGTATTTACATTTAATATATATTTTTCAAGAATTAATTACCCTTTTTTAAACTCCATAATGTACTCTAATTACATCAAGTTATTGTACAGTTTTATAAGTATTCGTAAATAGAATTTGCATGCATACAGCAGCGTTTAAAAAGTCACAATTGTCCAATATACATACAAATAAATATATAGATAGATAAATAAATAAGTCACTCTAACGTTTTTGTCGAACCAGGCACACAATTTATTTTCCCTCTAGTAAGACATCAAAACGTAGCTGTGCATTATCGGCACCGTTTGCTGAACTCCAAGTAGCTTCAAGCAACAAATACTGCTGCTCACACCCAGAATTTTCTTCTATTCGCAAGCGAACCTCGCTGCACGACTTGCGACGACAGTAATTTAGCCTGCACTCTTAAACAATCGGCGCGGCGCAATTCCAAGCGAACTACACGAAACTCTCTTCTCGAAGCCCCCCCCCCCCCCCCTCGTCTTGGCTAGCAGACCTCGGTATTGGCATTCAGCTCCGAGACGTAACGCTACCATGCGCAACCATAGCATAGGACCCTGCAAGCTCACAGCGCCGCACACCTAACAGCGCGCAAGGCTCTGTAGGTGCATTGGGCATCTACACCTCAGTTGGCTGGAACCTTAATGAAAGTTAATATTGGCGAAATCTTTATAAAATGTTAACGTTTACTGAACTAATATAGGCGAAGCGGTGGCAAATTGATGATCGCGCCGCACTACGAACCCAGGAAACCTGCGTTTGGTTTCCAGCTACGACTAAATCAGCGGCGGGTGGTATCTGAACCAGTTCAGGGATACCTTTCGCAAACCCACACTGACCAGTGTGGTGAAGTATGGTCGAGCAACTCCCGTGAACGGCTTGTCACGGGGAGGCGTTCATCCGCAAGTGGATGGATAAAGGGGCTGTAGACGTGTTATTGGGTTGTACCGCCTGTTGTTTGGCACGAAGAAGCACCCAGCACGTAGAGTGAAATGTCAGACATCATGCAGGATAACTTGCGGTACAACCTGAAAACACATCGGAGAGCTATGCATCACCACCGTGACATCCTACTTAGTCGTAGTGGTGTGCAGCTGTAAATTTATAATGAAATAAGGTCTGCCTAGAGCCGAGTGTTTTATTCGCTGCAGTTAACATATATATATTTTTTCAGTTGGTCAGAAGGATCTGGATGTTTTCCAGTTTCCCGTGGGCACTGGGAGAAACTTCTCGATGCAGTTGGATGAGGCTCTGCGGTGAAATGACCCCGCGGTGAAATGACCCCGCGGTGCCTCATGCACAATTGGGTCCGCACGCACGCACGCACGAGGTGTTCTCCTTGTTTGAACACAGCATCAGATGACCACGGGACTTGAAATGCTTAGCGCAAACATTGCCACTGCTTAAACACTGCTAACAGTGTGGCTAACAGCCACACGGTAAACTCGAACAAGGTAAAAAGTCGATATGCCATTTAAATCCAATTGTACACGATACACTATTTACAAGGAGTGTATTAAGTGGTTTTACCTGAAAAATGATACGCGGTAGATGATTGTGAAAATTGAAAGGTCTGCCAGGTGGACTATATAATAACAACCTTCGCAAATACAAAATCACGTAATCGCCTGGGACCTAATGACCGTAATGATGCAATGTACAAATGTTGTGCTGTAAACCTTGTGTAAAAACGTTTCCCTACAAAATATGCAATAAGTCATAATTTATCTGTATCGTTGTCAAACAATAATTATACAGTCCAAAAAGCATCCCTAATATTTGCATGGTACCTTTCCCAAACGGACGTACTGCGCTCACGGACCAGGCCATGCTCAAAAAGTTGAGAGATCGACCCTCGTGGACCCCATGATTTGGCTAACTCTGGGCAAATGCACACAACACATGGTGGCTCTGGTGAAAATCCACACAAAAAAAACTTCTCACATCCGAGTTTTTTTTTGGCGTTCGGTCTGCCTTTTTTCCTTTTCCATCTTTCGCCCGCCCGCCGTAAATGAACAACCCGAGTGGAAAAAAACCCCGCAACAACTGAATAAGCACGACCGACCGGCAAATGCTGCGTTCTCCCCCCCCACCACCTTCCCTGGGCTCTGACGGAATTCCCTCGTCGTGCCTCCCCAGCTCTCCTCTCCTCGCTCCTAGTGGTGCCCGCTGCGGAAAAACGCCGAGAAGAGGCTGGATTTTGGCTGTGGCCCCATGAGCATGGGCGCCTGGTTCTTGTGTGTCACTTTGATCTGTGGGGAGACAAAGCGATCACGCCGTTTTATGACAAGTCTGCGAAAATAAAACGCCCCATTTTGTTTGCCGTTTAAACCAAAACATGCCACAACGTTGAACTGACCGATGAATATAAAACGACGACGACGATGTTTCCAGGTCTACAATCGTGGAAATATTTTAAGAGTTATTTTCAGATGACAGTCCGATCCTGTGTGCGGTTCCTGCGTGCCTGGGTGTGCGATGCGACAAGCCAGCCATGAGCCTTGACAAACCCGTCCGACAGTGTCGGCTTGTTCGCTCGCTCAGAATGCTCACTTGTTTGGACTGGGAGACAAGCTGAGGAGTGTAAGAATCCGCCATAGAACTGGAACAATGGCACCCTATTAGCGATATGTGCGTGCGTGTGTGTACGTTGCCACCGCTATGGAAACCCCACTGGGGGGGGGCTCTTTCTCAAGCCACTGCGTTTGCTGTGATCGCATGCCGAGCGAAGATGCTAATTGACACGGCGCTGTGATAGAATTCAATAGCTAGCAAACACCAGTTTTACTATAGATCATGGGCAAGTGCAAACAAAACAAACATCTTGCTCGCTCGCTGTAGTATTGCGTTACTCCGAGCCTCTGCGAAATGCTGCAGTAGATCATGTACACTACTTTGCCTTCATAGCAGGCGGAAACTTATATCCGGTGCAGTTACTTTACACTGCACATGGCAAGGGCAATGTTTTACACAAGAAATGCTGCGATTTTTCTCTCTCTCTCTCTCTCCAAATGTGTAATTTTTTTCTATTTATTCATTTCCCCGTAGCCATTGCGTAAAAATATGTCAAAATAACCAGGCAAAAATGGGAAGAGAGATTGTCCGTATGCTTTTATGCCTTCAGATTTCAACATTTACTGCGAGGCCATCCAGCCCTGAGCTTCGACAAACTCCAGTGACGGCTTGTTCGCTCGCTCGCTCAGAATGTACCATGGTGGCGAGATGTTAACTACCTTGCCTGGTATACAGGAGTTTGTGGGTTCAACCCCGACCCTGACGCCTGCTGTATATTTGAAGTTTGCATGTTCTCCCCGTGGTCGCCTGGATTTTTCTCCGGGTCCTCCACTTTTCCCCTCCACATTTAGAAACGAGTATTTGGCTGTTATCCATTTCCAGATAAGCCACTACATTCACCTATCATTTATGATGAAGTGGCGTCTAAAAATGAGCTATATAGCTCAGTGGGCTTTACCTGGTAAAAAAAATCGTTTCTAGTTTTTAGAGACGGGCTGACCATATTTCCAATAGTAACACAGGAGATTAGGCTGGAAAAGAGCGCAGGTGTGAGGGATGCATCTTGGTTGTCAAACTGTAAACAACTTCTCCACAAACAGATGGTGATACGAAGCTCATTGTTACCCACCCGGTGCTCTTACACAGAGGCTGCCCCCAAAATCACTAAGACGGTTGGAGGGCAACACTGAACCATTTTCCACCGTACATTCTACATCGTAAAGTGAAAGAGTAGGCCAAAATAGCATCGAGGTGGGGGTATCTTCCGCCAGCAGTTGCCTGAGCAAGACATCGCAAGGTCTGCACCTTCTTTACCTTTTAGTCAACTTTGTGGGAAGCCGAGGGCAATGCAGTAAAATCCATTGTTGTTACCCTACTTGTATATTCCCACCGTGCGTGCTCCTCAGACCTTCAGCCAACCCGCAGCGAACCAGCGTGGTAAGAAAAAAAATCGGTCAGATAAATCCCACATCCTTTAACAGGCATGGGAAGAGGCCCTCATCCAGCAGCAGATCGGAAAAAGGGCTGTACACGTGCCAAGTTCTCCAAAAACGATAAGACGAAATTATTCCCTTGTATTTTAAAGCAAACAAATTGAAGGCGAGTCGTATATGTTCTTTGTGTGTGTGTGTGCGCGTGCGTATGTGTGTGACCAGATCTCTGACTTTATTGACAGCGGGAACAAATCTGGGGCGTGTCTTATAATCCAGAAAATAGGTGACATGGGCTTAGGCAACTTTGGTAGCAAAAAAAATACCTGTGTATGAAAAGGGTGTGCCGAGCGACTGTGCAGCACACACGTACCCAAAGATCCCCCGTAAAGCCTTAACAGACTGTTGGGGCAAGTGCTGTTAGCGAGCACCTATGAAGGCCGGTAAGGCACACGAGGGGGTGGGTGGCCAGCACCACGCCCGGCCACCTTTGTCTCCCTAGTGGCGATATTTACGCTGAGTCGACCTAGGGGAGGCCCAGGACCGGTTCAGCTAATCGTCACTGGTATCGACTGTGAACGGAAATCGAACTCGAGCCACCAGATTCGTAGCGCAGCGCGCTGACCGCTACACTACCACTCCCCACACACGTACACACGCACGCACGCGCGCGCGTGCACGCACACACATCCACCCACCCAAACACAAGCCACGGTGCAGCCTGGCACGTGCGTTGGCCGATCACATTTCCTGCGAGAAACGGTGCACACCCCACACATGTGCAGATTCCACAGCTGGTGCAGAGCTCCAGCCCAGGGCGTGGTGGCAATCCAACGCGGGTTTTGCACATACCTCGCCTCCAGGTGTGGCCAAAATGGGGTTCGGGCGATAACAATGGCGCACATTTAAAGTCTTCTGTTTGCCTCAATTAGCACCACACCTAGGGGGTGGCATCTGACAACAAAAAAACCCCGCTGTTGTGACGAATCGTGCCTCTATCCTGAACTCGGAAACATGTAAAAATCTCACCGTGATTGTCTCCACTAAAACTCATCACTTTTTGTTGTTGTTCTGTTAGTTTTACATATTCGTGATTTTACGGTGACACGGGGAAGACCCATCATGCTCATTGACGTGCACTCTATTTGCCTTCGTGTGTGTTTATCCCACGTCCGCCTTAAATGAAAGGAATTATTTTCAATAGACGCAATGAAGGTTGCCAAATAAATATCACGAATTTAATTATCTTTACCAACCCGGCACTGAACAGTGTGGTGAAGCAAGCTAAAGTAACCCCCATGTGACCCACACGGCATGGGTAGAACCGTCATTTAGCAGTGGATTGTGGAAAAAGGCCCGTGCATGTGTGATTGAATGAGCCCAACTTATCCTGAGTATAGCCGAGGCTAGCGATCGATTCTGCTACACCATCAGTATGATAAGCAATGGTGGGATCACATACGGTGCAGGGCGGCTGCATCCAGGGCTCTCCGTCGATCTGCATGGGCAGCAGTTTGGTCGTCCTGCGGTGGAGGAACACAGTGACACAGAGGGAGCCGTTAAGGCCAGTGGCCTAGCCTGTTCGGCATGGGCCCTGGTGGCTGGTGTTGCAAGGAATTAAATGGGCCCCCACTCCCCACCGATGTTCTCCCTACTTTTCGTAGGGCCCCCTCTGGCTTGTGGGCCCTGGTGCAGTTGCACCGCCTGCATACTAGGCCTACCGTTGCTGGCGATTGTCACTGGCAATGCATTTATTGTACTATGAGCAATACGTATAGCACCTTGGTAGCGGAGTGGTGTCTAGTGACGGAAGTCTGACTACCCAATGATAAAGTGAGTTTGGTGAACATTAATCTGTCTACAGATCATACAACCTCGAGGAACCATGTGACCTCTGTGATTTAATTGGAAGTTTGCCATCACATAGGTAAAAATAAAAATAAATTACTGTATCAAGGTACAGTAAATTTAGCTGTGACGGTCCCACCTGATGACGGAAACTTGTGTTGCCTCCGAAACGTCGTGATTTATTATTTTATTTCTATTATTGTTTTATTATTTTATTATTGATTTTTATTTTTACCTACGTGACTTTACCGAAAAAACCTACGAGTATGAATCCTTGCAGTCACGAAAGCTTCAAATCTAGAATTTGCCATCACAGTTGCCCAACTAGGGAGAGAATCGGATCAGATTTGTCCATATTTTGGTGACAACATTTTATTTATGAGAAAACGTTGCGGCAACTGCTGCCGGTGACGATTGTTGGCAGCTATTGCTCTTAAAATTGACCAAGTGTATCGTGGCCTTTATACTTTGTCCGTTAGCACAGCATCTGGCAACTGCATCAAGAGGAATGTTAAGGCAAGTGTCGGAGCACGGATCGTTTCTCGTGTCACTGATGAGATGAGACTTTGTGGGGGCGGCGTGTGGGGAGTTGGTGCGGGCAGATAAAGGCCCATTACGAGATGAACCACCTTCATTGATCACACAATATTGATCTGTACCGATCGGAGTGGGAAGGGAGAGGGACACTTTGTTTACCCTCTGTAATGTAATTTATGGGCAGCAATGAAATTGAGAGCCTATGGTTTAACTTAGATCGGAGGCTTCCTTTGGTTTAAGATAAAGAAATATTATTGGTTAAAAAATATATAATCTTTAATGTTAATTAACGTTTCAGTGTATCAAACTTACAGCTACAGTACTCGAGCACTTTTCACCGTAGAGTCGAGTCAAGCAATGGCTCATTCTGATCGGAAATAATTTAGTGTTTGCATTATTGATGATGAGATATGTATGACTTATGGCTTATGACCTAGGTCAGAAAAACCATGAAGGAACATATTCGCCACGCTAATCTCATTGGGTTTAAAAAATTGCTACACTTTCTTTCTTTCCATTCATGTATTTATTTATTTTAGTTAAGTGCCAGGAATATTTTTTTTTATAAAATGAATACAAATTTTGGTAACACGTGCAGGGCATATATAGCCTTTGCACTTAAACGGTGACATTTATCAGGCATTTCTAGGTTATACGAGATATATATATATAATTCTTGAAGTGGAAAATAAATATCTTAAGCGTAGAGGGAGAGTGAGTCGATTGAGTGCATGCTCGAAGCGTGGGCTGCTGGTCACCGGATGGTCACAGAGGAGCACTGAGCCATTCTCTTCCCGGCACTCTTCAGCCCAGTGTAGATTTGGCCCATCTCCATTGCGCCCTCCAACCCCACCACCTCCAACAGCTGGTCGCCCAGATCTGAATTGTCACACAGAAAACAACGAAAACGCACACAAAAACAATTACGTGAACTTTCAGCTCGTAAGACCTTGAGTTCGATGTCACCTGGTGAAGAGCGAAAAGGTAAAAATGTGGTGCGTGACTGTTTTGTTCCCGCACCTTTGCAAACCTATGCTGATTATAATCTAAAGTGAAAAGAAAAATGCAGCCCATTGTACTCTGACAGAGGATGCATTGCCAAGTCCATAATAATGCTGCCCTCATTATTCTCTGACTTGCTACCAGATTAGCCCCCCCTGGAAGTTGTCAGTGTATTGCCTTCTGCCGTTGGAATTAATATGTTAATGGAAGACGTCGTTAACATATTAATTTCAACACCCTACGTACTGAGCTGGGGCAGTGTGTGTGTGCGTGCGTGTGGAAACTCTGCAGGCACTTATAAATATTTCTTGATGTTCATAAAATAATAACAAGTTCATTTATATAAAAAATTAACGTAGGTTTTTTTTTGCATCTATCATCGAGAGGAAAGAGCTCGATATTTTTGCCAACTGATAATTTTCAGTCATCATCATCAGCCATGGTTAATCCACTGCTGGATGTAGGCTTTCTTCAAGCCACCGCCATCTCTCAGATGATGATGATGTTTGAATCCACCTAGCATCTGGACACGAGTTTATTTCATCGCTCCTTCTCTTCTGTAGTTGCCCTTTAAAAAAAAACTTCAGAAGGCGACAGAAACATAAAAAAACGTTATTATTATTTTTTGGAATTAGCCTGTGATTTTATTCACGAGTTAATTGAAGCAGAACTATAACATCGTCAATATGTGTGATTGCCTCAACATGAGCAAATTATTTAGTAAAAAATAACCTTATAACTAACAGCCCTTTGCCAGATGCCGGTCATGGGAATTATGTGACCATACTACACCGTGCCGGTCAGCGCGAGTTGGCGATGGCAGGAGGCCCCAGGATCGGTTTCAGATTTCACTTGCCACTGATGTTAGCCGTGACTCGGAATTAAACTCAGATCACTGGGTTCCGAGCGCAGAAGCACTTGCGAATGCGCCAACATAAAATGATCAGAATAAAGTATTAAAATGCTGCAATGTGAAAACAATACGCCACTAAGACAGCGTTTAAAGTAATAATTGGAGCACAGTTCGATTTGCAACTGTATCTCTCTCTTTTTCTCTCTGGATTCACCATCCCCCCCCTGCCCAGCCAGACCATCTGGCACAGCACCTTATGGGTGATAGCCAGGCAAAGAACAACTGAAACGTGCTTTTATTATGGGGCTCAGTGCTAGTTCTGGGATGATTAACACGTTTATTGTTGAGTTTTCCACTCCTACCGATATTTGAAAAGCCAGCGCAATTTTCTTGTAGTTGAGCAAACCTACAATCTGGCTCAGGGAGGCTCTCATCCAGCAGTGGATTCATAGTGGACATTGATTTTGATGAACAGACAAACCATGGCGGTGACAGCAATCTTGAAACGTTTCCTTTGTTCGCAAGTATAATTTTATTTTGGGCGATTTGTGAAATGTGGTCTATATACTGCATGTGAATAATACTCTATAATTTGTCATATGATATCGATAATTCTGTTTTTAGATGTTACTATCGTTACGCTGCAGCTGTAATCCTAATTAAATTTCATAACTGTATTGTATTTGTTAATATTACGTTACAGTATTACGTTAGTGTTGTAATACCGTATCATTATAATTGCTGCTACAAAGAAAAGTACTTTATGGAGCAATTAAATCAACTTACGTGTCGGGACTTGCCAGATGATCACAATACTGCACTGTGTGAGATGGCACGAGCAGAGGGATGCCTTCATCCAACAGTGGCTAGATAATGGCCACTGATGATGATGATGGTGGTGACTGCACGTGACAATAGAAGAATGAGATATGCGTTTGTATGCCTCCGAAACGTCGTGATTTATTATTTTATTTTGTTTCTATTAATTGTATTTTTTACCTACGTGACTTTACCGAAAAAACCTAAGAGTATGCCTCGCAGTGTTTCCAGTCCATCGTAACGTGCGCTTGGAAGGGCACTGACATCATGGTTTCGATGTGAGCCCAGTGTAAGCGATGCGCATTTTTTAAAATGTTTGACCATTTATAAATATTAACCCGTTTTTAACTTGCAATTGTGAGTATATTTTGGCATCTGTTTATTTGGTAAAAAAACAGAATAGATGGCCAAGCTTACTTTAAACTTCATTGATGTTGGACTGTATACACAGTATTCACACTGCATGTTTTTTTTGCCACCTAATCAAAAAAAATATAACCACTGGGTTAAATATTTAAGACTCGGCAATAAAAATGTTCATTAAAATTGGTACTTGAAACGACTAGCCACGCTACTTTCAAATTGTCAAATTTTCCCGATGCTAAATTTAACACTTAAATGCCCCGGACGGACGCGATGCTAATTAAAACTCGACCCAAGATAAGGTCATCGTTTTTTTTCTTTCCACACTGGTGTTGAAAGTCATCACGACCAAAAGAACATGCTAAATAGGAGTTATGGGGAGCTCGGGGGTTACGTGATGATGCCTTGGGGACCGAAGGGGCAAGGAGTGATCAAAGGCAAGGCTCGCTCGCGATACATGGAGGGCATGGCTGAAGGAAGTTGGCTGTTAGGAAGGTCTGTAGGACATGCCCCCGTGGATGTCAGATGTAATTTAGACCCCCCTCCCCCCTTAACTATCACCCCACCCCACCGCACCGCACTCCACCCATGGCATATCAAAAGACAACAATGGGAGCTTTTATATTCAAGCGGGTGTCTATGAAATGCAGATGCAGAGAAGAATGAGGAGACAATAAATCTAGGCCACCGCTAATTGCCTCGTTGGGCAGTGGTTGAATACGTGGAGAGGGCTGCTTTGGAGATGGCCTTAAGGTGCAGCCATTTTGTAGCCCAAGAAGACAAATGTCTGGACACGGGCGTTGGAATAAACAAACAGACAAACAAGCTGACTGCAGCATCCACTCCCTTGCGGCTTTGATGTCCTTTGTTGGGACCAGATGAAAGTTTGGGAACACCAAAGCTTCCATGTGTTTAGGAATTGTTGTGCTAGGGTTGTAGCCAGGCAGGGCCTGCAGTTTTATTTCTGTCTAACCACATTTTGTCATTCATTAGTCAATTTTACATTCGTTTTTAACTTATATTTTTCTCGTGGGACTGTAATGAATAAAAATGTCATCTTAATTGCACGTGTGTAAACCTTTGTACTAGTTTTGCAGCTTGATCTCAGGGTGAAATGAAAGGTGCAAGCATCCAAGAGGGAGTGTCTTATAGAGGCCCTGGAGGGCATGTGGGCCTGCTCGTCCACGCTGGCCAGACATCTTGGAAGAGTAGGAAGTTGGCTCACAAGTGACGACATCATATTCATTCCTCTATTTAAGACCGAAAGAAGATTGCTGCACAAATCTGGCTGCCGCCTGATGATTCTGCTTGTAATTACTGGCGAAACGTCGTACCAGAATTGTAAATGTCGTGAGTTTACTCTCCAACACACTGGTGTGCTGTACTAGTAAAGAATTCGCATGTTTTGTTTACGTGACAAACATTACTAATTGTCTGTGTCAGGTGGTGGCGGGGTTAACGACACTTTCATATTTACACGATATAACCCAAAAACCTCTATTATGGATACCCAGACCAACCCAATGACACCTTTCCGATCGACTAACGGCAGATCTCATCGTATATATGTCTTACAATTCTACACAGTGGCAATGATTTAGTTTATCAGTCCTTTTATTTTATAACTTTATTTTGTTTATTTACTTTCATTCTCCCCTTTTTTGTTTGCAAAAGTAAAACAAAAACCCCTCATAGTCTTCTAAGCATATGTGTACAAACATGCTCTTAGATGGTAAAAATTCATCTGATGTTCAAGAGCACTGTGCTGCTTCATTCCAAACTGAAAGTAAAAGAGCCAGGCTCTGCAGGCTCCGCCTGTGAGGTGTACCTGCTAATTGCATTATCTGTTACGAAAGTGGTTCTTGCTCTGATTGCCTGCACAGGGGAGGCAATTACTGCATGTCGTGACTAATTAAGCAATAATGAGGCTCCTTGAATAATGATGTCCCTGGCGAGATCAAAATGCGGCGCTTTGCAGACACGGCGGTGACATGTGGCGTGGCATCATCTGAAGGCTGGCATAACAACAAGCCGCGGTACGGGCTGTTCACGTTATTTTCTGCACGCGGTCCAACCCCTTGACAGATTGCCTTCGATGTGTAGAATAAAAAATTCTCGGGTAAAGATGCGGCCCTGCAAATGCTTGCTCGTGCCACTGCTGGCAGAAGGGCCTTCGCTCCACGCTGAACAGATTGGTTTGAGTACCCACACTTTACTCCACCACACATGACCTGCTGATGAACGAACTATAAGTGAATCCATGTATACTGCTGGGTGGGCAGAGGCGAGGTCTGGGGGGGGTTTTAGAACTTGCTGCATTGTTTCAACTGTCACTGCCCGGAGATCGATTTTTTGTTTATTTTATTAACTGTTTTTTTAAATCAGGTAAGGCCCACTGAGGTATGTAGCTCTTTTTCAGAAGCGACCTGGCCACAAATGATGGCTCAACGAAGTGGCTCATCATGCGGAAATGTATAGCAGCCACATACTCTAAATATCTGTTTCTAACATGCAAACTCGAATAAACAGGTGTCAGGGTCGGGTTTCGAATCCACGACTTTCGGTATACCAGGCGAGGTAGGTAACATCTCGCCACCGTGTAGCTGACCACTTGGTCTAGCTGACCGCTAAACCAAGGCAGCATCCATCCAACCTTCTATTAGTATGAATTGAAAGTGGCATTTAAATCACAGGCCCTTGTGATTTAACCACCCCTCCAGCCCATCAGCGATTTGATGAATTGTCATGTTTCAAGGTTGCTATTGATCTTGAATTGATTTTTGTATTGTTTTTACTATCTCAGAAAAAAATGTTTTGTCCACTGTATTAGCCGATCATCTGCATCATCATCAATCATCAGCTATAGTCAATCCATTGCTGGATGAACTGGCCCTAGCCGCCACCATCTCTCGCCATCCTGCTATGTAAAAATTCACCTTGCACCTGCCCCAGAGTTGATGTCCGTCGCTCCATCTCCTCTGTGGATGTACTCTCGGATGCGATCCATAACTTGCATATACCGTACAGTATTGCATAAATTACAAATAATTGATTCTCACACGCACACCTTGATGGACTTCATGTATCTTGCACATAAACAATTCATTTCAATTGATGTATTGCTCCTTGCCTACAATATAAGTGACTTTCTGGACACAGCCAAACGCATTAGCAGAGTGCTTACTTTAAGCACAAAATAAAAACAATTCTATCCTACATAGGAACTAACTTACTCTGAGTTTTCTGACAGCCAATATGACACTCTATTGACTGCCGAAGGCATGACACACTCTCATGAATTGAATTATTAATACAGATGTAATGGAACTGTGACTTGCCACATGTTCAACTGAATCATGCAACAGCCGTGCCTATTAAGCAGAGCCCTTGCCATTCACACACACGTAACGAGTGTGACGGCTGTGAAATGTTATATTTGTCCATGACCAAATCATCGGGAATTCGCCTCATCTCGTGACACTGAGAGGACGAGGAAAACATGGATTGATGAACATGTGTCAGTTAGGGCTGTCACTTTGACTCTTAACGAGAGGTCATCTTGGACAGGACACGTCACCAGCAGGGACAGTGGCCGGTGGGTGAGACTAATGACGGAGTGGCAGCCTCGGGAGGGAGTGAATGCTCCGCAAGAATGGCCGCCACAAAGATGGAGCGAGGAAAACTCCATCTAGTTGTATTATTGAGCGTGTGGATTTGTCTCCGGGTCCTCCGGTTTTCCCCCTCCACATTTAGGAACGTGCGTTTATGAGTATTTCGCTGCTTTAAATTTCGACGTGATAAGCCACTTTGTTGTTGGGATATCATTTGTGGCCAGGTCGCTTCTGAAAAAGAGCCGTGTACCTCAGTGGGCCTTACCTTGTTTAAATAAAAATAGTAAAAAAAAAAAGTTACATTGTGCCGGCGCCCCGTTGTATTGTTACATCGCAGCACCACGAGAGTTGTCGACGGCATGGGGAGGCCTTTGCCCAGCAGTCGATTGCTCACGTTCTGATGATGATGGCGATGGCGAGCGCACGACCCTGCGCAGTGTGGTCTCACCCTGCACGCAGTACTTGAGCTCCTTGGGATCGGTGACGGTGGTCATCGCGCGCTCAGGCGGCCGCTTCTTGCTCTGCCGCCTGTAGTTGCGCCGGCGGCGGCTCTCGCCCCACAGGTTGGAGCCACCGTGCATGCTGGGAATGTTGAGCAGCGCGACCCCCTCCAGGGAGGTGTTGCTCAGGTCCAGGAGCATCCCGTCGCACTGAGAGGGAGACACACACGCACGCACGCACGCACGCAGCCGATAAAACGTGGAGATTCTGCATCGGTTTCCACCTTCTGGGTCTCAACGTCTGGAAGGTCCGGGAGGTCAAAGCTTGTATATAAAGTGTTTTATTTTCATGTGGAGAGAGGGAAGGTTGTGTGCTTCATTTATTTGATCATTAAAATATCCACGATCAAAATGCTCCACAACAGTCCATAATGTTTTATATGCCAGTCAGTAGTTTCTGACCTACTTTTTTGCTTTAAAGAAGGGTCGAAATATCCGTCTATTGTATATTTTTTACATGCTAAAACAATGCAAATGAGTGTAGTAAGTTTTGTTTTAATTGCTATTTGTACTATTATACGAAAATGTTCTTCTTGTTAAAAAAGTAAAATAACACGCAACAAAAACAGCAAGAATAAACCTTAACCAGAACCAGTTTCCTGGAGGCCTTGGGCAGAAGGCCACAATAGAGCCCTCTTATTCCAAAACTCGGCCCGTTGTAGGGGCCTCTTTTTGTGTGAGACTCGGTGCAGATCTCCTTAATTTGACCCTCCACCCACCCACCCAACGGATTGGCCCTGTGGAACATTGCAAAAAATTGACTTCTTAGCGTTGATTTCTCATACAACTGAAGTGCAATAAATTAAAACGACACTGCGGCGTGCGGTGGATATGTTGCGCAACATTGGAAGGACCGAGTCTTTGCCGGCGGTCGGTCTCCACGGGGGAGTCGGCGTTTGCCGCGCTCCGGCACTGAGAGGGAGACACGCGCACGGTGCCTGTCCAGGCCTGCGTCACCTCGATCTCGATGCACTCGTGCAGCTTCTTGCAGGTGGCCGAGAACGTCTCCGAGGTGCCGAACTCAAAGTACCACAGCTTGTTCTTCATGCTGCTCTCACACAGTGGTGGGAAGTGTGCCAAGCGCGACATTTTACATCGGCATTATTTTTCGATTTAAAGCTTTCGTGACTGCAGGGATTCATCTTCTTGGTTCTTTCGGTAAAGTTACGTAGAAGGAAAATAATACAAATAAAACATAATAAAATAATTCTCACGACGTTTCGGCCACAATGCAAGCAGCCGTCTTCAGGTGGAGAACAGGTCTGTCGAGAAGGCATTCAGACTCTGCCTTCTCGACAGACCTGTTCTCCACCTGAAGACGGCTGCTTGCGTTGTGGCCGAAACGTCGTGAGAATTATTTTATTATGTTTTATTTTTATTATTTTATAATTTTCCTTCTACGTGACTTTACCGAAAGAACCAAGAAGATGAATCAGCATTATTATATATGATCAGGGTATCGCAGCTGAAACGTCATGCTTCTGAAGTCTGTTAGATGAGTGCAATCAAGTTTGACATTACCACTTAGTAGGATCACAAAAGTGGTTGAACACCACTCACTATTCATTTGATGGCAGTGTTTAACATATATTTCCCCCAATTATATCTCCATTGTGCGATTGGCATCATGGTATGTGATGAAGAAATGTTCATTTGGAACTCTCGATGGGCAGTGCATCATGTGTAAGAGCACAGTCGGCAGAAATGTATATCACAGGACTACTTTTGAGATTCCTCGTATACACACTGGGAATGATGGACTTTCCCCAAACACGCTGCTGTAGAGAGATGTGCATCGCATGACAGTCAAACTGAAGTTGGCAATTCTCGGAATTAAATTGTTTTGACAAATTAAGCGAAAACTTAATTTAATACGATCGGTTTTGTTTTTTGTGTGTGTGCACTCAGTGGTAACTGGGCTTAGACCACCAAATCACTACATTTGAGCATTTGGTTCGATCACTGATGGCCACCACCTCAGTGCTTTGACCCCTGAGCCCCCAGGCCACTTGATTGATTTTTTAAAATAATCATATTTTTTGTGGAATTATTATTGATGGGGGGTTAGTGTGCTGTGGTGCAAACACTTAATTTGCAGTGGAAATCAGGATTATACTGCAAATGAGCTGCTGCTGCTGTAACACAGCGTGTCTTCTGCGGAGAGATGATATTTACACAAATGAAATAGAAATATAAGCAAACTAATTATTACGGAAGTTAATACAGAGGTGTCCAACCGCTTGCTGACGGAGACGCGATTTGTAATTAGCCTCGAAATAGGAACGCGAGCGCAAATTTTAATTTTTACCGGAAAGTAAACCGGAAATAATGCACAAAGTAAGTGTCGCCACAGCAATAATTAACAATATTGCCCACATTTGTAGTGTTTGTTTACTTCCTCACACTCCTGTTGTTTCGGATAAACTCGCGGTTGACACACGCAGCGAAAGCAGCGCGTGTGAAGAGGGGCGCAAAGGCATTTTAGGAGGCAATTCCTCTCCTCTCGGCCCAATTGTTGTGAACTTGCAATGATGTGCAACGTCGCTTGGGACTGCGTATTATAGACACTCCCTTCTCGCGCTTCTCCGTACTTTTCAGCGAAGGCGTGTTACTTTCCAAGAAGCATCGACTTAGCAGTGCGTGGCGTTGGTAGCTTTATGAGCTGCCCGCATCACAATGGCAACTCGCGTTGCGCGTAGACAAGTAAGAACACTTCGGCGGCAGGAGTCTATCGCACTTTACATTGAAAAATAAACTCCGAGTAAAATCTAATCATTTTCTTGGTTCTTTCGGTAAAGTCACGTAGAAGGAAAATAATAAAATAATAAAAATTAAACATAATAATATAATTCTCACGACGTTTCGGCCACAACGCAAGCAGCCGTCTTCAGGTGGAGAACAGGTCTGTCGAGAAGGCAGAGTCTGCTTCTATGTGACTTTACCGAAAGAACCAAGAAAATGAATCCCTGCAGTCATGAAAGCTTTAAATCGAAATTTAAAATCTAATCATCAGAATTTTGGCAATACATTTATCGTTCGCGCCATTCGTATCACGGAGGCGTTATGTTTCACGAACGAATGTGGTCTGCGGTCGTTTCACATTATAGTGGGAAAAGACGCTATTTGGTTTGGCAAATTTGTGGCGCAACGCTTGCACACATTGCCTCCACTTTTTCGAATAATGTCACAGGGATCTTTGAAGTCCACTGTGAAGCAGACAGTGCGTAATTATGGTCAATGCGCCACAGCATTAACTGGGGAGGCCGTTGGGCTCGAACCACAAACCTCTGCAACCAACGGCGATACCCACTACCGCTTGGCCATGTTGCTGTGAATTAACACTAAACGGGAAATTTCGTGAAGGGTGGCCCAATGTCAAGTAATAAATAAACTCGGCAACTGTTGATTTAACCATTTTGCTTTGCACTCTCAGAAACAAGTGACAGCATCATATTGCACAAACATACTGTACATTGTCCCCTTTGCCCCTCATGCATAAAATGGCATTTGGGAGATAAAAAAAAAATCTTAATAAGAAAGGGCCGGTGATCGTGAGAACAATAACGACGACGACGACGATACGATGATGACGCACAAGGTTAAATAATCCGTCCGCTCACACAACCTATCCTCCCCCCCTCCCAGAACCCTCCATCTCAGGAGAGAATCACAAACAGATCGTTACTGCCTTTCGTCGGCCGCGTGTTAATTGGCCATGTGGGAAGAGCACGAGGGGCTCTCTCTCGCAGTGGGGAGGATGGCATCCACGGTGGGCCCGCGGAATAAAGAGCCGTTCCACGCGCGCGGCGTCGTGGCCTGCCACCTAAAATTGCCCTGACAAGTGTGAAATTCCCACTTCGGAGAGAGAGAAAAAAAACTTGACGGTGTCGTTAATTGATCGCTTTCTTCGGCGCGTTACGCAATGCTGCAATTACAATGGCTCGTAATACAGAATTATAATTACGACCGTCACGGAGATGACAGTGCTGTACTTAGCAGCGGAACCACATCAGGACTGGACGAGCAGTGTAAAATAAATGTGAATGCAATGAAGGTTCAAACCGAGTAAGAAAGAGAATCGCATGATAATTTTCTCACAACTAATGTTGAATGTAATAAACAGCCCTTTGTCAATGCACTGCTGGACAAGGGCCTCCCCACACAGTGTTGGTCACAGGGCTTCATTGACCATACTTCACCATGCTGGTTCGTGCGGGTTGGTGAAGGGGGTACCCCAGGACCGGTTCAGTTATCAGGACGCCACTGGAGCTATGCACTTTAAAATCTGAATTGAAAAATAATTTCTTTAGGACTGCTAATTAGCACGGTTGGCTACGTACGGTGCGAAAGAAGTTCAACATCCATAGCGTACATACACAGCCGTGGATGAGAATCAAACCTCGTCACCGGGTAAATAGTGAAGTGTGCTTACCACTGTGCCACCGCTACAGCCCCTCACACTACTAGAGCCGAGTACCCATGAGAATGACACAGAGTGAATCCAATCAGAGAGAAAGGTCCTTGAAAAAGAGACCCAGAGTCTGAGAGCATGCTGCGTTAGATTTACGTATTGATTACATTCTTCATTATCATAAATTCAACATATGGTTGTCCCAAATTGTCAATGTACGTTACACAATATTGTCGGAATGAATGGAGACCAAGTGGTAAAAAAGGCAACAAATGAAATAGCAATTACTTATCACATATCCGCAACAAAATCTGAAAAGTGGGTAAAGAGGAAATTGCACTGAGCGATGGATAGAGGAGTGCATGCATCGGATAACGACCGCAAATCAAAAACAAAATATGACTTATATTCTTAGGTGTTTTCGGTAAAGTCACGTAGGTAAAACATCAAAATTAATAAAATAATAAAATAAAATAAAAGTTCACGACGTTTCGGAGGCAACACAAGTCTCCGTCATCAGGTGAGACAGTCACAGCCAGATGACGGAGACTTGTGTTGCCTCCGAAACGTCGTGATCTTTATTTTTATTTTATTATTTTATTAATTTTGATGTTTTACCTACGTGACTTTACCGAAAACACCTAAGAATATGATTCCTTGCAGTCACGAAAGCTTCAAGTCTAGAATTAAAATATTGACTTGTTGATAAACGTAAGTGGACACAGGAAGGATGCATCACTGCAAGAGACAATGGCTGAGAAACAATGCAGCAAGTAAGGTGGATTGTGGCATCACAGACCCATGAGGGATAATGATGTGGGGATGACTTCATCCAGGAGTGGACAGAACATGGCTTATGAATATTATAATGATGACCTATGAGGTTTATCCGGAGGTCACATTTTAAAGATCAATCGCTGTTGGTGATTTTCCACAAGTTGAAAAGCTCCCTCCCTCCCTCCTCTCCCTCACCTCTGACATCGCTAGGTGAGAGCGACAGAAACAGCGGCAGCCTTTTCATCCGGTGGCTAAAGAGAATTCCGTGTCGACTAACAACCAATCCGTAGCTTGTTTGTGCCACCCACACGCCTGCCTGCCCAGTCTGGCTCTATATCACAGCGATGCGTTAATGATGTGCTGGGGCACTTGAATCATCACTTACATTGAGGGTCTATACCTGGTCAGCGGACAAGTAGCCGTCAGAAGTAGCACCCTCGTGTAATTTTTTTTAAAGTGATGGAAAATGTTTTATTCCCTATACCGTGATAATAATAATTCACAGCCCTTTGTCAACGCATCATTGGATGAAGGCTGCCCCATGCCGTTATCGGTTGTGGTGGGTTGTTTGACCATAGGCTGACATGGTGGCGAGATGTTCGATCATGACCGTACCGCCTGTATATTTGGAGTTTGCATGTCTATCTCCCCGTGGTCGCGTGGATTTTTCTCCGGGTCCTCTGGGTTTTCCCTTCAGATTAAGAATCAACATGCGTTTATAGTATTTTTGGCTGCTATACGTTTACATGTGATAGGCCACTTCGTTGCACTATCGTTTGTGGCCAGGTCGCTTCTGAAAAAGGGCTACATAGCCCAGTGGGCCTTACCTGGTAAAATGAATAGTTTAGTTTTATTTCACC